CTGGGCTGGTGGAAGAAGGGTGTTTCACACGGTGCTTTTCCACTCCTGCCATTATTCAGAAAGAAGTGAAGTGTGCCAAGTATCATTCACCTGTATTGTTCTGATTCCTTACAGTTCATGAAGTTGAGAAACTAGCACTTGATTTAAACATTGATTTTGCTTCTCATTCAGAGGTTGTTACCTGGAGGTTCTGATTAAACTTATAGAGGGCAAATTTGTAAGAGATTGGGAATGTTGTGTATGTCTGTATGCAGATTGTTAAGCTAATAAACCTTTTCTGTGGTTGAAAGATTAAACCTGATGCTTTGAGTAGCTCAATATGAATAATTTGACTTCCTGACGTGCCTAAAGCCTTCCTTTTTTCCTTGTTTCAGAATGGGGAACTAATTTATGGCTGTAAGGATGATCAGGACTGTGTCTGTGACTGGAACGAACTTGCTCGTCACTTAAAACCCTTCTTTTTCCCTTCCAACGGGTTGGTCAGTGGCCCCCACTGCACAAGGACAATTGTTAAGGAATTAATCCACGTGATAACCATGACGCTACTAAGTAGCACCGATACCTGCAGGGCAGGTGACATGAAGACAGTTCCCCTTTCACAAGGGAGAAGCTACTGTGAAGCAAGTGCTTTTAATAAGGAGCTAGTAAGAAATGGTAAGGGATAATTTKGTAAAAACTGACAATAATTAACTGTTCACRGARYCCCRGAATGGTTTGGTGTGGAAAGGACCCTTTACAGGCTACCTGGTCCAGCCCCCTGCCATGGGCAGGGACACTTCCTGCTAGACTAGGTCTCAGTCTTGTCTGATGGAACAATTTAGATCTTTGTCTCTTGATTATTATTACTGATATGAGAATGGAAACAGGGGGATGGCATTTTAGAAGAGTTCTGAGCTGTGTGGCTGCCAGRTAATTGTTCTTAATATGACGTTGTAGTGAGCACTTAACAGCAMTGTATCTAATGACGGGGTAAAAATAAATTCAGGAGGTGGCAGAGGAAAAATGGAAGAAAATACCAGTTKGAGCTGATAACAATCATAGGTATTCCAAATGAGTGGGGAATTTCTATGTTGTATGTGATGAAGTTTGCTGCTTTGGTTGGTTTATTACAACATCTGTATTTTGCCTTTCCTTGCTCCTCCTATCAGCCCTCACAGGGCACAGCTCATGTTCTTTTCTTCTGGTAAAGACAGAAGTCTGAATACCAGAGGGAAAAGCAGTGGGAAGTGAGAGTTGAAAAAGTGTAAATGATGTTAATTCCTCAGTGCATAAGTTCTGTAAAGCTCTAATTATTCAAGATGYTCCCAGTTATCCTAATTACACAATAGCACATTTCTTACTTCGCTTTTGAGGACCTTTTTCACTGCCTGTGGTTTGTTGTAGTGTTGGAGAAAGAGCTGTCTTAGACAAATTACAGCAAATACAAATCTCTTGATATTGTATGAAAAAGACCCCAGAGCTGAAATACTAAATTATTATGTCAGCAGTTGATACTGTTCAAAGTGAATTTGCGGTGACCTCACACTCAGATGAGAAATTTCTCTTGTGGACTCAAACAAGCAGATTGCAGTGGATGTGGGTGTGTTTTGCTGTTTGTTTTTTAGGTAGTTTGTAGAGCTTTATACCAGGTGCTCTGTTCTTCAGCTCAAAATGAGCTGTTTAAATGTGCAGCTCAGTATCCGCCCCTGGCACTGTAGTTTGGAAACTGAAGTGTTTTAAGGTTTCCCCCTCCCTGTGACTGGGCTAAAAGTATTCTAACTTTTGAACAAGCACGTGTTGTAAATTAAAGCTAAGACTTGTGTCTGCCTTATTTTAAAATGCGTTTTGTTCTAGGTAAACATAAATTGGAAAGCTCTGGTTTACCGAGGGGTTGCCTCCTTTATAAAACCCTTCAGGCTCAGATGCTTGACATGCTGGATATTGAAGGACTCTATCCTTTGTACAGTAGAGTTGAACAGTACTTGGAGGAATTTCCTGAAGAGAGGTAAGACTTGGTGGCTTTTCTTTTCAGTCCTGAGTAACCAGGATTGCAGACAGAATTGGCTCTGTGCACACACTCTTGTAACATTGCACGCCTTTCCTCATGGCACTCCATATTCTGAATTTTTAATAAAGTGCCAGCTAMCGTACAAGATGAGTATTATTTTTAAAAGTTTTGATGTTGGTCACTTTGGCCTGAATTTTTATTAATGATTGTGGGAAGCTCACAACCGGCTAAGAGAGAAAAAAGGCTCATTTTCTTAGTTGTGTGTTTGCAGAAAGGTAAAGGTACAGTAAAGTGGGTGGTTGGTTTCTCCTCTCCCCTGTACCTGCAGAGCTGGGAATGTCTGCAGGGATAWTGATGTTTTGCAGTGCTGATTGCAAGCTGCTGTGTTTTTTAACTCAGAGGAGGCTTATTAGTGTAAGTACGATCAATCCTTCTCTGGGTGCTGTTCCTCTCCTGTGCTCACACGAGGGCACTCTGGCTTCACTCAGGAGTGGCTGCTGCTTGTGCAGTTACAGGGAACAGAGCACTGGAGAATGCGTTCTTTGACCTGCGGGGTTTGTGTGGGACAGACCCTGCTGGGAGAGGTTCAGCTTCTCAGCAGGGCTCAGCTGTTCAGAGGGGGAAGGAAGGAGGCCAGGACACCCCCCATTAGCACATGGTGTGGATGAAGGCCCTGTCAGATATGCCTKTGCTCTCAGTTTATACCTTTTAAGTACAAAATAATGTACTATAATACATATATAAAAGAAATCTCTGTATATTATATTTCTTAYATATATTTTCAGCAATGTTTCTGGAGGTTCTGCAGACTGCTAGAAACCCATCCTTTTGCAAAAAACACTTGTGATACACAGGTGGCAGTGAATTGAGCCACGTTTATAAAACCCCATACAATCCAAATCCTAAACAGCAGCAAATCTTGAGTGATACGAGAACAACAGAGACTGTTGTGATGTTGGCTGGCAATGAGTTAATATTTGGACATGGCCATCAGTGTTATTGTTGGGTTCTTCTGAATATCTGGACTGTTGAAGAAAGATCACACTGAAAAACCAGTACATCATTTTGGCTGTCTGTAAATCTTTTAACATTTATTTAGAAGTACATTACAGATAGATGGACCTTACAATGAAGCATTTTATGAGAAGCTGCTGGACCTTTCCCTGGAAGACGATGGGACAGTGGCTTTTGCATTAACAAAGGTACTTCTCAACTTCTTGAGGTTGTTTGATCTGTGTTAATTAACCTCTGTCTCAGGGCTGGATAATGGATGGAGGCTTGTCAGGGTCTGTACTGTTAAAGTTCTTCATTGTACCAGGGTGCATGTTTATAGCAGATGCAGTTAAAAACAAGCCTGTAGCACCAGTTCTTGAGAGAAAAATAAAGCTGTTTATTTGCTTTCTACACTGAGGAAGCATTTGCAGGAACTGGAGGATTTGGCTTTTAGGAACATGATGGGTAGGAAATAAATATGATTCGTATACAGGATGCTGCAAAAGCACCTGCTCCTGCCAACCTTCTGTCACAGAGAATTTCCAGTTCTTAAACTGCCAAAATCCCAGTACAAGGAGTGCAGTGCTGCCTTTTGTAAGGAACAGGACACCTTACTACAGGCAAACACCAATCTAAGAGAAAATGTGTGTTTTCTATTGTGCAGGTGCAGCAGTACAGAATAGCAATGACTGCTAAAGACTGCTCCATCATGATTGCCCTTTCCCCCTGCCTGCAAGATGAATGGTAAGAGCTGCCTGTACCTGCCTTGGAATGACTCCAGTTATTTAGAAATTGAAGGTGTTTGTACTGTCCAGACAATTCAATCACTTAAGAAAAATGTGGGATGTGTGTGTGGGGGGTGGTGTGTCCAAATATTTGGCCGTGAGCATTTTTGAAAGTTCTGATTTAAGACATTTATGACCAATGTTCTCTTTCTGAAGAGTGTTAAGTTGATCAAAAGGATCCAAGTTTTATATTTATTCCATTAAAATTTGAATTGACTGTTCATAGTAGCTCTATATGGTTTTAACTAGGTATGGTTTTTCTGTCTTGGTGTTCTCATAGGGAGAATTGCCTTTAATGGCCTAGTTAGAAAAAAAACCCAAGGTAATAATCAAGAGGTGACAGCTTTGGCTGTCAGGCAGGAGGCTTTGCCACAATATTATGCATGTTGGCTTTTGTCAGCAGTGCTAATCTGTTCTTCTGCAGGGGGCTTTGCTTTACCAGAGCCCTTTTATTTTTAGGGAATGCTGTTTTCTGCATTTGTCCTGCAGCTCTCAGTGAAGTGTTARTGATGGACATGACTTGTGCAACGGCTGCCTTCAGCACTCCTCCATCCCTCAGTGTTCTTGGACAGCAGTTCCCATACAAAATGTTTTATTACCTTGAACCTAAGCAGGAGTTGCAGTCATTTTTTTTCTTTTGCTGGTTAACAAGGCTGTTGTTTTGTATGCACCACCTAGAAACAGCTTAGATTTACTAAATACAGTGAGAGTAATGCTTGACTTCAGCTTGTGGAAGCTGAAAGGAAAATGACTGGAAGAGATGCCAGCAAGGTTCCATCAGGACTGGTTAAGCTGGAGCTATAGTTTCCTCAGTGCTACATTAGCTGCAGTTTATTTTCTTGGGCTCCCATGAAAGTTCTAAGATAAACATTAGAGTCACTTTTGCAAGGGGACATATAAATTAAAAATACTGGTTTTAGTGACTCAGATGTCCAATGTGGTTTTATTTTCCAGCTCTGAGCAAAGACCTGTGGTACTGACATCCAAGTCCAGATTCACCTTCTCTGTTTCTGTGCTGGACCTGGACCTGAAGCCCTATGAAAGCATTCCCCACCAGTACAAACTTGATGGTGAAATAGTCAACTATTACCTGAAGAATGTACAGGCCAAAGAGGACCCAGTTATGTCCAACCTCTTCAAGGAGAATGAAGACTGCACATTAGTTCTCCATAAAGTGTAACCATTCCCTTAAGGTTATTTTTATTCAAACACATGAGAAAGATTATTGGAATACAGTTATGGTGATTTTTTTTTTTCTTTTCTATTGTGTTCAGTGCATTTTTCAGCTGTGAATGTTTTTGCTTTATGAAATGATTTCTAATGGGTAATGCCTTCTCAGAGACCTGGGATAGCACTAAGCCACATGTTTGCTAGATAACCTTAATGAATGTATTTAATGTGACAGAACAGGTGACGTGCCATACCCTGGAACTAGAGGACAGATCAAATTAATACAGAAAGTCTACTTCCTTAGAATCAAAAGAGCACAGAATTAAAGGTTTCCTGAAGTATTGCACTAACATAGAAAGCCTAGTTACTAACAAGACAATTGCCTTGGAGCCTGTGCTGAGTCTCCCTCATCCTACTAAAGGAGGGAGTGCTCTGGCAAAACCCAACACAACACTTTAGCATTAATCCACTGAAAATACAGCCGTGCAGTGGCTGATCTGTGGAACTGCCCTGTCACTGCAGAACACTCAAGTACTAATGCACAGATTGGGAACAACAGGCTGCCTTCAGAAGTTGTGTGGTCACCTTGTACCTACTAAAGCTTCTGAAACAAAGTGCAAAGGGTTAAGGTAAGCTCGAGTTTTACATGATAGCTGGGCTTAACTCACCTGTCATGCTGGTTTTTATTGTCTATACATTATATGCTGCTATTGAAGGTGAAACCACAGCTTGCTCTTGCCKAATTTAAATTAATCTATAAGAAAATGTTCTGTAATTTCGGGTCTTTTGGATAGTGTCAAACATTGGCATTATTAGACTGATGCCCCACACACTGCATGGCATGAGCAGCTGCTTTCARGCTCCTTTGCTTTAAGTGACACAGAAAAAAAGTGACAGAATCTCATTTTCTTCCCTGCAGCTGCAGTGGGTTAGTCTTGTGCCAGGGTAGGTTTGTGTGAGCTGTGCAGCTGAAGGCTGGGGAGGTGCTGCAGTAGAGCCATGGTTGGGGAAGATCAGGAGTTGGAACTGAAGAGTATGTCCAAAAGTGAGGGTACTGTGATAAAATGTACAGCTCCTTTTTCCTCAGGGATTACACCCCCTCAATGGTACAGAGATGCTCCTCAAGCCACAGTGAACAGCTCTTATTACCTGGATACAACCTGTGCTTACCAGTATTGTTCAGAGTCTTGTAGGTTAACTCCTGAATATCATTTACATTGTGATCTCTGTGTAACCTTTGAATTGTTCCAATTTACCTGAAATTGAAAAATAGGGCCCCGTGTAACTCAAGGGAGAAATGTGAAACACAGAGACACCACTCCCCCAGTGCCAGAGACCAGAGCTGGCAGTGCTGGCATCCAGTGCCAGGAGCCTTTCTGGGACCAGGCCTGAGGTGTCACACTGCAACAGTGCAATAAGCTGGCAGTTGACAGCAGGAATAAGCCCTTCTTCCCAAAGAAAACCTGGGGGAARAAGGGAGCTACTTATAAATCCAGAAACCCTCCAGAGGGTTAGAAAGAGGAGGAAGGAAGGACCCTGCATAGCTGGGAAGTTTCCAGGTTTTTATGCTGTAACTTTGCACACATTTCATATGCATCAGAAGTGTCTGTGCTCAGCAAACAGTTTCATTTTGGGGCAATGAGGAGGGAGCTAAAGATGAACTGAACTCAAGGTTACACAAAACCAGCTCAACCAGTTCCATGTCAGTGGATAAGCAGCACTGAATTTTGCGTGTGTACTGGATTCCAAACTTGAAATGAGCCTGCCTTATCTAACAAGATAGAGTTGCCATTCATCAAAACCCAATCTCTGGCACTGCTCAGCTGTCAAGTCTGTCAGAAACCAGCCTGTGGTCTGTTGGTTTTTCCTGGTCTGCCAGAACAGTGGGAGACAATTTCAGTGATCAAATAATGGATTATTACATTTATGGGATTATAAACATACTGTTGCTTTARTTCTTGGTTTCTCCACCTATTTCCCCATTGGTGTACGGGGTGGGCGGTTGTGTTGCTGGCCTTGGAAAGGAGGCTCTTCCTGAGAGGCCAGAGCTGGTGGGTTTGGGCTCTCAGTYCCAGGAACTGTTACTCCCTGCCTGAGAAGTACCTGACTTCCAGTCCCATCCATTTGGTTTGGATATGGTTGTTCGGTTCAGGTGCAGAGCTAGTGTAAAGCAGGAATTCTGGAAACACTGAGAGTTCTCAGATGGGCTCATGGCACATTGGATGGAAATAAAGGGAGAGGCAAGACATCCATTTGATCTGTTTTGTTTCTTCAGGGATGAATGTGTGAAATGTGATGTTTGGTAATGTGTTAGTTACCGGAATTTCCTCCTGGAAATCAGAAATGGGAAGGAAGTGCTGCAGTGGGCAGGAGGGGACTCACCCACTTTTTCCCAGGGGTGTCATGTCCCTCTCTGGGTTGGGTTAACGCTGTCTCAGCACTCACATTGTGGAACAAAGTTACTACATACAGGTACCTTTGGCCTTTTTAGCAYTGTATGTCTTTGAAATCTTCAAGTTGTCTTCTTCCACCCTAATTTAATGAGAAAGCTGTTTAACTCTTTGTTCTAGGAGTCTCTTACTGTTCTCTTGTCATTTTAAAATCACTGTACTTCTACAGAGCTGTGAAATGAAATGGATTTTTATGGACTTGATTTTGACAGTGCATGATCTTTTAACAGTTTCCAGGTATCTAGAAAATGTTAAGAAGATAAACCACTCTGGTACATTAATGATTCAGAAAGATAAATTTATAATGAAATCACTCTGTACATGTAACTATTTTATTTGGCATTTTTGTATTTAAATGGCTGTATTTATTTTCATGTCATGACAATTTATATATAACGTGCCATAATTGTACAGATAGCATGTTTTATGAGTATGGTTTCTAAATGGAAAATAACTTAATGTTTATATTCAATAAAATTATAGACTGTGTAACACAATATCTTAATTAAAACTACTTTTGAAATTGCTACCTGGTGTAAGTAAYGCTGGCATTCATTTTTCTGAGCCCAGCACTTTGATCAGGTTCTCGATGGCTGCCTCAATCCCGAAGAGCCCGAGCGCACTCCGGAAGCTGCCAGGGATGCTCTCYACACTCGTCATCCTCTGCTCCAGGACTGCAGGAAAAACACAGCAGTGCAGCTTAGTTTGCAAGAGCTGCAGCAGTGCTGAGACACTAAAGCAGGGGACCTTCAGACACACAGGGTCTGTAAACCCTTGGAATCACACAGGAGGTGAAGTGCAGCTGCTGCTGAGTTAGGTTGGGCTCTGCGAGGTGCAGTTCCATGGGATTGAGGGAGATGCTGACAAAACCTGGGCCTGCCAGCTCAGGAACAGTGCCTGAAGCCACTAAAGTTACCTTTCTCTGGTACTTTGGTCAGCAGGTCCAGGACAGGTGTAGTGGTCCCTTCTGCATCCAGATGGATCTTCCAAACAATCATTAATTCAAACCTGTACCGGGTGCACAGGAAAGGCAGTTCAGGGTTAACCAGGCTGCTGTCTTTAAGRTTCCTTCAAAGCAGAAAAGGCAGCAGTCATGGGGCTCAACCTCATGCTCTGCAATGAAACTCATTAWTGTAATGTACCATCTCTGGATTCAGAACCCAGGAAAACAATGATCAAGGAAAACCASTAATCCATTGACAAGGAAAGTTCTGGGTACAGCCAGATTTGCATGGTGCAATGGGGAAGGGGAGAGGAAAGCCAAGGAGAGCAGTGAGTGTCCCCTGGCCCTACCCCTCACATAATATCAACATTCCTGCAGTTGTTTGCTTTTAATTAAGAAAAAAGAAGTCTTAACAGCCTCATTACTTCTTCAGGAATAGTGGTGGTGGTTGTGCAAGGCCAGTCATGATTCSCAGCTTTTGCTGTGGGTTGAGATCACTGCACCATCCCCAGGGAYTGGTGAGGCAGGAGGTGAGTGCAGAACAACATCCAGGGCAGAGGCTGCTGCTTTACAACTGCCTGTCTGCTTYACTGCATCTTTGTTCCCTCCAGTCCTAGAGTTCCTTCCTGGAGGTAAGGCTTTCCTAATCCAAACCTGCTCTGCACAGTGAGTCACTGKGAGGAGGAAGGTCCCTTTCGTAGTGGTGTTTAATCCATCATGACTAAGTTTCCTTCAAATGGGATTTGTCAGGCTTTTACCACTTCATTTTTACAAATCCTTTGGGAATTTGTGCACAGCTTTTTCTGGGATTTTGCAAACAAATTTCTATGCCAGTCTGGATATGACTTAAAGTCTTGTGTTTCATGACTGTAGGTGAGAGAGAATGTRGGTAATGGAATTGGTACCTGGCACCACAGGAGAAACAGTAAAATGAAGCAAGTTATTCCCTGTCTGGGATAGTCTAAGAACAATTCATTCCTGAACCCCTAAATTAAAGCTTTTAGTTTTAAAGGGCAGGTTTGGCTGAACAAAGCAGCACCATCTATTAGGATTTGTTTGCTAATTCCACACACAAACATAATGAAGGGAGCTGTGCTTTATTTCCAGTTGTTTCCATTTAAATGAAAGCATGTTAAAGCAAGGTGTAGCAGAAGGGAATGATCTGATTCCTTCACAAAATAGTTACTTGGCCCTTACAGAATTCCTGACAGTGATACTTACATCATCTTACATTTAATTGTAAGGATTTTTTTTGTTCTCTATTGAAAATCCCAAATGTACTGGAACATCTCTGACAGGGGGGCCAAACAAATCCCATGTGCCTGGTAGGTAATAACTCCTTCATCTAACTGATTTCCTTCTGAAACAATGGAAAAGTATAGCCACAGTTGCATCCAGCTGGCATGGTAAATGGCATTTTCTTTCATGGCAAGACACCAAGGAACTGGGCTTTGCTGGGATGGGACTGGGATCCCTGCACCTCTTGCCACAGAAGGATCTTGGAGCTGCAGCACGCGGCTGCTGCCCTGCCTGTGCAATCCCTCCCCTGTGTAAATACAGAAATGCATTCATTGGCTTACCCAGAAACTTTGGGGTTCCTTAAAATTATAAAATCTCCCTGCAGTCCTTCYGGAAGGGTCACGTTGTCAGGATACTTGGCCTGTGAAGAAAGGTCATTACTGGGTCATAAAAATCATAGACAAGGTGGTCTCTGCCCAGTGCTCCCCAGTCACAGTGGATTGTAGTAACAGTTTAGAGTAACAATACTGACTCTGAAATTCTGGGTTTTTTTATGTCAAAAACCGCAGGAAATCTTGAAAGAACATTTTTATTTTAGCTAAGTTTGTTAATTGGATTTAATAACACCTTGTAATACGTGACCATGTCACTGCCCTCTGTGAGTGAAGGCACCTTGGGTCCACTCTGGTTTGAGATGGTCACCAAGCTCCACACAGGGCTTTGAAAGAGTAACAAAGGCAATGAGATACCAAAATAACCGATGTCAGCAAAATATAGGGCAACAGCAATGTGATCAAACATAAATGTACTGGCTCCTATTACAATTCCATGTTTCTGGGAATTATTTTCAGTTACTACAATGTGCAAAGGTTGACGGTTGCTCCATTACTTTGTTAGTCCATCTGATGTGTTTGACATGTGCCTCGTGAATTACCCAAGACTCAGAATTTCAGAACTATTTTAAAAGCTCTGTACGGATCCTGCAGGTGCCAGGTTACTCAGAGAATGAGGGGATCCACAGATGCCAAACACCAAGGAACAGCATCCTGCAGGGAGGTGCTGCTGGGAAAGCAAATGGAATGGAGCCACGGACTGCAGGGCTGTGCCCTGCTTGTACTGCCTCGTGTGCTGGACACAAAGCTGTGTTCCAAACCTTGCAGCTTATAAAGTGTGAAAAATCTCCCAGCCWGAATCATCCCAAAGAGATCCCAGGACAAGCAGCAGGTCTTATGGAAAAGGAGCAGGAGAGCTCGGCTTCGAGTGGCACYGGAGAAAATAAGTTTGGTTTTATGTGATTACGCCTCATCTGGCAGAGCAAAATTGCTACCAGATGTGACCTTGCTCTGGTTTAGGAATTTCTGACAAACTGAAGGGGGCTGTGCAGGATGCCAAATGACATAAAACACATGGAATTTGCTCRTTTTAATTTCTACCCAGTATCCAGTACTGTATTTACTGTGAGGATAACAACCATGATCTATCCTGAGAGCACAAACACAGAAGGGAGGACACGGAGCAGGGACAGTGTTGGAAATGTGGCTGATCAAAGGTCTCTCAGCTGATAGAGCAGGGATCCTCTTCCAGCTTTACTCCCCATGGAATTGTGCCCCTCTGATAACAAAATAAAACAAGTTTTCCAGGCTTTCYTCCTCAATAACCCATATCTGGTTTCCATTATGAGCCTCCCCTTGCCTGGTGTCAGAGGCCTGGGATGATGGAGTGATCCTTTAGCTCCAGGCTGTAAATACTGGAACTGCAGGATTAACTTTGGTCTGGAACTCAGCTGTGCATCCCTCATTTACAAAAGATCCCAGGTATCCCACAGCACAACACCAAGTCACACTTCATCCACCCATGCCCAGACATTTAGGCATCACCAGAGAAAACAGAAGAGCCAGGTAAGAGTTACCATTTCCAAAACACTGAAATGCTCCTGGGGCTTTCTCAGGAGCACCTGTGCAGCTGCTGTGACTGACACATTTTATGTCATGGAAGCCAGAGGCAACTGAGGGAAACCCCAGTGTACGATTTCTGTGGAAAAGCTTCCCYGTACCTGGGAGAGAGAGCCCCAGTGCCTTCCCTCAGTGTTGGGGTTCTGGCAACCAACCTGAATGCCGTGAGAATTTGATCCTGTGTGAAATTCACAGGATTTGGGATAAAATCCAGCTTCCCTTCGGGAAAGGTCATATTTTAGCTCTCCACATCACACACAAAAAGCCAAACCACAAATACCTACAATCCCTGTTTGCTATAACCCCACCCCTGGCAGTGACTCGAGGCAGCCCTTGCCCAGATTCGTGCGAGGATCCCGGCTGCCATTCCMACCTTACACCAACACCCAGTGGAAACGGGAAGCAAAGCTACCCCAGCCAGGGTTAAGCAGCAACTTTAAACACTGACAATTTCAGGAATGAACTGTGGGAAATGCAGTCAACAATCTGCCTCTTGTATTCCACTTAGAATATGTAGGGTCTGGGATCTGGCAGGTGACTGAAAAACCAGGCACAGRGTGAGCATGGACAGATCCCCAATTCCAAACACTCTGTGGGTACTGCATAATCACCTCATCTCTGCCGAGCAACTTTCCAAGTTCTCCTTGAGGAAAAGCCRAGCAATAAAACCAGGGTAACAGAAAGAGCTGAGCCACTGAAAGGTCTCTTGGGAAAGTTAGGAACTCCTGAGGAATCTTATAAACTGGACCCAAGGCAAGGGAAAGAGATCCCATCAAGTATGTGACAGCAGATGGGAAGGATCAGCTACAACTGCATTAAGCAAAATCTGACTTTAATCAAGAAATATCTTTCCTCAGATGACTTTTAAATGTCAGTTTATGATCAAAACCAAAAGCCCAAGCTATTATTACTTCTAGACGGAAATCGTTTTTCCAGCTCCTTCAGGAGTCCAGGCAGGGAATCTTATGGGAACTTTTGTCTCAAACAGGAATAGTCTCAAACCACAAAGGGACCATRGTGATGGAATGCACAGCTTTTCCCCTGCTCCCATGACAGATTTTACACATCCAGGGTACACACTTGTAGCAGCTATTTCTCAACAAAATATATTATTCGGCAGCTGTTTCAAACTGCACTGCGATTTTCTGCACACAAAATCTCTGCTGAGGAAAATATTTTAAGTTGTTCAGCTTAAGAGCTGTGGCTATGAATGCAAAGCAAAATGGGCAAGGGAGATGCCAGATAAAAGCAGATAAATTTGTTTCTGTCCTATTTAGCAAGAAAACACAGGAGACTGCTCCCAGCTGCAACAACAGCTCCCTTTTTACTAATTTTGAACTTGTTGTTCTGGAAGGACATATATGAAGGGTTATGCTACCAGGAGCTCCCCTATAGGGACAAGCAATTTCTAATTTTAGCTGAGTCCTGATTCGGGTGATTTCTCTGTATTGTTTGCTCAGTTAAGGCCAYGTTATCACCCACTGAAATCACACATGGTAGGAGCACCAAGGCTTTAAACTCAACATTGATGTAACACCAGTMATTTTTAAAATGAATTTCACTAAAGCAATAGAGGCACATTTGGAAAGTGGAAGTTTCTCATTTTGTGCAACTAAAGGAACTGTAACCAAGAACAGATAAAAATGCACTTTCACCCTTCAACCAAATTACACCCCATAGAAACACTGTATTTTCAGAATGGATTTATGAAGCTTCACCACTCATAATTAAGTCTCAGAATAAATACAGCTCCAATCTCTTGGGCAAGTTCCTCAAGCAAACCAGTGCTGCTGGTGATCCCTGTGAYACCAATCACCCAAACCTCCGGCGCCGGCGGAACCAAGGATGAGAAGAGTGCAAGGACAAAGTGGTTTTGTCCACGTGGCAATCACAGCCCACCCCCCAYGCTCAGTCAGGCTCAGTCCTCTGCTTTTAAAATTAAAATCACAAGTGACACAAACAACATGMAGCTTTCAGTTTTTAGGAGAGGAAAGGAGAATTTTGAGAGATTTTGAGGGCCTATGAGAAAGTCTGACAATGGTAAGTAGTGACTGGACAGCAGAGAATGGCTTCCCACTGACAGAAACCAGGGACAGTTGGGATAYTGAGATGAAATTCTTCCCTGTGAGGGTGGTRAGGCCCTKGCACAGGATGTCCTGAGAAGCTGTGGCTGCCCCATCCCTGGAAGTGCCCAAGGCCAGGCTGGGTGGGGCTTGGAGCASCCTGGGAYAGTGGAATGAGAGCATCTTTAAGGTCCCTTCCACCCCCAGCCATCGAGGGATTCCATAAATAACAGYTTGAATGCCACCCTGGACAGGGGAAATCTTTGCAAACATTTACCAGAATGTGTCCCCAGCAGGCACAGCTGGTTGGTTACTGGAGAAAAAGTGCTCTGCACCCACCTGGCTTCAGAGCTGCAGTTTTTATCAGTCCAGATCTGCAATTAACTCGAATCATTGATCACTTTGGTAAGACTTAGCCTTGCAACTGCCTCTTGCAGATAACTCAATCCTCTGCATGAGCTTCTGAAACACGGACCACCAGCCCCAAATCCAGTGGCCTTTGCTCATTGCCAGTGAAGTCCCTTTGCTTTGTTCTTTCTTTCCTTTTCTCTTGATTACAGCTTCTCRTTTTTGGCCCCTGCTCTATTTCCATTGCACACATTTTCCTCCTTCCATTTTTCCACAATATTATTTTCATGCTTCACTCAACCAGGATTCTGCATGATTCAGTTTGTCACTATGCTCACCGTGTGACCAATMATTTCCCATAATTTCTGTATTTTCCTAATTGGATCTAGGCTGTAGGTCTCTAGAAGAGCCAACCCAACATTACCAAGGCCCGAGTACACAAAATACTGCATCTCATTTCAATATCACTTTGTCATATGGTAACCATGTGTTTATCTGCAACTTAATTACAGCAGACTGGGAATAAATTAAAATATACACTGGAGGTTTATTTTTGTGAGGAAARATAGAATTAAATAACATGAAACCTCAGAAAGAACAGGAAGGGGTARATGATAAATGGGGAACACAGAGGTTGCAGATGCCTTTTCTTTTTTCTTACTGAGCAAGAGACAGATCTTCTCTCCAGTATTTCTCTTTGAAATTCTTGAGGCAAAGATCTCTATTAGTTATGAACATTTTAAACCCCACATTTTTCTAGYTTAAGATTCTTGGGCTTATTTGCCATCTTACTCGACTTTTAAAATACACTGTCCTAAGGCTAAGCTGGCTCAGAGCCACCCCTTGGCACAGGGACCAGCCCAGCTCCAAGCCCAGCAGGGCACAGGAACTGGCTGGGATTTTGTGGGAGAGCACTGACACTGCTCCTGGACATTKATTTTGGTGGAAATTCCCAGAAAACCAGTAGAGCTCAGCAGTTCTGTTCTTCCTCCACAAGTTTCCTGATAAATTAGTTTTCACTCTATTGTRTTTTGAGTCCCCTGCCCTCCCTCTGCAGC